GAAAAAAGTTAAAAAGTTATTTGATGAATTATTTATATTAATAATATATTTTCAACCTTTTGTAATGCAAAAAAAAAGATGAGCCAGTAGGACTTTGCATATCAAAGACATGATTTAACATCATACAAAAAGAATCAAAAAGAATATCATATATTAGCAAAGAGAAATTACCATGTAAAATAATAACTTTAAATAAAAGTTATACATTAATAGTATCACCTTATAACGTGAAGAGACGATTGACCAGCAGAAATTTCATATCTATAATATTTTGTTTAATATTTTACAGAAGGAGCGTAAGAATATAGAAATTATTACATAAATAAAAAAAGAAAAAACTGTGTAAAAAAAATATAAATTTCAATAAAATAAAAACTTTAGATATAATGTTACAAATTTTCTAATTTCATTTTAATTACAGCCATAAAAAAGAAAGGTAATAAGAACATCAATGCATAGTATATTTGTGTAAAAAGAAAAAATAAAAAATAAAAATTGATTTAAAAGCTAAAATATGTACAGCACAGTATGCTATTTTTTATTATAAATCGATTGAACTAATTATAACTAATGTGTAATAAAATTGGATATCTCAATATTTTTCACTCACATTACTTTTTTTACTGAAATATTAAATAAAGTTTGCAATGCATCAAAAAAAAAGCAAATCATGTTTATGTGCCAATTTTTTCAATGTTCTTTTAATTACATACTTTCTCTTACTTAATTTTATTAGCAAATTTTATGACTGATTCAAAAGGCATATTAATTATACTAAGCTTTTTTTTGGCTAAAAGAATGTGATTTAATCCTTCGATTAATTCAGCAATATTTTTTGCTAAAACATAGTCCAGTTTAAACGGCCTTTTTGTAAGCCTTTCCTCGTTGAGTTGGAGAAAATAATAACCAGGAATGTTTTTAAATTTCAATATTTCGTCTTCTCCAATGTTAAAAAATCTCTTAAAAGGTAATCAACGCCTTTAAACCTTAAATCATCATTGGTTAAAATGCTGGTTAAGATGCCAGTTGATGAGATGTCTGTTGGGATACCGTCAGAATTGCTGTTCCTAATGCCCGTTCTGGTAGTGCTGTTATCATTGTTCCCAGTGATGGTGGTACTTTTGATATTCCTGGTATAGGTAGTGCTTTTGATGTTTCCAGTGCTGACAGTTATGGTACTGGTGGTGCTTCTAGTTGAAATGTCAGTTCGTGGTTCATTATTCTAGAACAAGATAAAAAATATAGTACGTATATACAGTAAATGAAAATGTAAATCACACCAATAAAAATTTAATCATATTACCTAAATCTTATAAATAGTATAGTTATTCCTTCCGTATTCTTTTGACGGAAAAAATTCAATTGAAATTGTTTTAATTTCACCAGGATCATCATTATATTTGAATTCAAAGGTTTATTCTTAAACACGTTGAAAAAATAATCCAGCATCATTTTCAGTCTTGAAATGTATATGTCTGTAAGTTTCGATCTTGCACTTTAGTATATGACAATTTTCCATTTGGAAAATATCTGATAAAAGGTTTTTAATTTTACCACTACTGACACCGTTTAAATGTACTCCACTGATAAAAACAGATTGTTAGACTGAACAGCAAAAAGTCTTTTATTTTTTTAGTTCTAAAAAATAAAAGTGTAAGTGTAAAAACATGACGTGAATGTGAATGTGAATGTGAAACTTGAGTGTGAACGCATGAATGTAAGTGTGAACGTGTGAATGTGAATTAAGGGTGCAAACATTTATATGAGTTATAACTTTAGTTATAACATTAATAAGATATAAAAAGGTTATAACATAT